AAAGAGAATATCCTCATCTACAAGTTCCCTAGAACAGTAAAATCACAGGTTCAGTCTCTAATCCTATTCTTGCATGCACCAGAGTTCCCAAATAGGGAGCAGTCACATAAATGCCCATGAATTGCCAACTCCAGTTCATTGTAAATCTTCAATAAAAAGTGCCACTCTTTCTCATGATAGCTGTTGCTATAAGTTCATCTAGGAAAGGGGACCTAATATTCCCCAAACCTGTTAAAGTGCAAAGAAGTAAGAAGTGTAAAGTATAAAGAGCCTGTGCTTTTACTTCATATTACCAGGTTTGACTAGTCAATAAGCATTTTTTAAGTATGTACTTTGCACTGAACACTATGCCAAGCACTGGGAAAACGAAGAAAGATAAAAACCATCCTTACCCTCAAGAAGCTCACAATCTATTGTAGCAGGCAAGAAGCCTGAGTCTGTCGCCCCCAAATGTACATGTGATTTTCAGACCCTTGTAAACTGAGCTTTCATATCATGTAACCTTAAGCCTTATATTCACAGGAAAGCTTATGAATAAAAATGTTCTCCAGGATAGACTTTCCATTTACTGGGATAGTTTGTCAGTGCTCCATGTTGGCAAAGTGAGAGAAGAGGATTGTTATGATATTGTGGTGGTTGTTTTAAAACATATGGAAACCTAATAAAACTAACTAACTAACTAAATTAATAAATAAATAAATAGGAAAAAAGAAAAAAGAAAAACCCACTTCCAAGCATTTGTCCTATAGAATTTTTAATAACGGATGACTTTCACTTAGTGTTTTTAAAGTTTGGGGCACTTCACACACATTATCTCACTTGAGCCCCGTAACAACTCTATGAGGTAGGTATTCTAGGTATTATTATTCCAGTTTTATAGGTGAGGAAATAGAGGCTATGAGAGTCAAAGTGCATTGACCATAGTCTCACAGCTAGTAAATATCCACAGCAGGACTAGGATCCAGGTCTTCTTGACTTCAAATCCATTACTCTATCCACAGGGAGATTTTTGTAAGTGGTGATTATGCCAGTCCAGTTCAATTCTTAATCTTTATGGTTGATAGACATCCTTCTCCAAATATTCTATTGTGTCCATTCTTGTTCCCCAGAAATTCTGTACCAAAATGCACTGGCTTCATTGGTCTTCAAAATCTTCGGTGAGCACATTTTCAGAACCGTGGGTGAATAAATCAGCAAACTAACTTCTCCCTTTTTAACACTTGTCATGTGTTTCTGCTTGTATTGGTAATGAAACAACAGAGTGCTGTGGACACCGTCTCCCGAGAATGCTGATCTTCTGAGATAGGGGGTCAGAGGGGCCAGAGCCACCACTCAGTGTCCAAAAGGCCCTGCTCAGTAGTTTAGAGTGTTGCCATTCCATCCCAGAAAATCAAAGCCATATATACACTAGCTTGAACTGGGAGCCAGTCAGGCAACCTGAAGTTAGCGAAGGCAGCTTTGTGTTTGCCCTTGAGCTCTCATATCACAGAACAATCCACAGTGCTAGCAGACACCAATGCATCCACCTAGTATAATAGTTCACATGCTAGTTGGCCAAAAAATAGACAGACAAGCAAACCAAGGCAGGTTCCTAGGATGTGAAGTACATGAAACTGTGCACCTAAAGTAAGTAGGACATGCTTTTGTAAATACTGCCACAGAATAGGCTATGTCAAATAACATAAAAGGCTGTTCGCTGCCTTTTCTAGTTCCTGTCTATAGTCAGCCCTGAAATAACTTTTTCGTCTTTATTTTCTCAGTATTCTTCCTGTTCTTTTCTGTGATAATTTTTCTTTGTGGTAGTGTTTTTAAGCTGCTCTTATTCACCCCATATCCCCATTCTACTGACAGGGAAGATATGTCTCCAGATATGAGATGTTAAAAATAAAGGCCTGAATAGAGATAGAAACATGTATTGCTTCTTCCCAGTGATCTAAGTCTAGGTCATATCAGATCCATCCCATGGAATAAAAGGAAGCCTAGTGTCCACAGGCCACATACATTACCCGCCCCTCCCCCCATCTCCCCAACAAGACTTTGAATCTAATTAAATAGGTACTAGATCTGAAATCTTGCTGAGATACACTGAATTTAGCTAAATTTAATTCAACAAATATTTATTCAGTCTGTTACCCAGTTCAAGTCATATCAATGACTCCATTTTGGTGTCAGACTGGACTTTACTGATTCTCATTTGGATTTCATTAACTTATAGTTTTATCAAACAGATCAGAGTCTTCAAAGAACCAACAGAAATACATTTTTTATTATTGTTATTATTATTGTTATTGTTATTATTGGTCTAGACCTTGGATTTCATCTGCTTTGGAAACTCCCAGTGTGGAATCTCTCTCTGCTAATGCAGATCAGCAATTCCCCTGTAACTTAGAATTTTAGAGAGTTGTTGTACTGAGAGGCTGTGTGACTTGCCTGTGGTCAGTAGGCAGCATATGTCAGAGAGCTGAGTTCAACCTACATTTTCCTTTCTACAAGGCCAGCAATCTATCCACAATGTAAACATCAGAAAATGTTCTGTTCACAAGACAAATATTTCAGTCACACAGGGAGCAGTGCTGTGGCTCACTTACACCCATTCCTTGACTACAGAGAGAAGTTTGATGAAAAGTAAAAATAAAAAAACATGAGAGAACAAGATATACTTGCTTAACTCAGAGTAGGCTTACACCCTAAGGCCCAGTTTGTTTTAGATCTCTCTGGTCCATTCACCTGTGCAAAGCTAGTTGATGAACAACATTTGTATAGTGCATGATGATAGAAATAGTGCTTATACATCTGTGGCTGAGGAGATGTGTGATGGGCACAGGAGGCAGTTAGCACATGTATATAATGTAGGAAGTCTTTGCTTGGGCTGTCATCTGCTACCCTAATTTAAAGGAGTGCCAGCTGTTTCTTTTCATGTGTGTGCTGATGGACTGCCTGAGCTCTGACAGAGCTGCCTCAGAAGCTTGAGCTAGCTAGCTGCCATGGACAGCCAATAAGGTTGCACGTGAAATAACTCTTGTAATAAGGTTTCTGTGTATATCCTGAAGAATAGAGGTAAGAAACCCAGAGTCCACAATGGTTTTATTTATAACTCTTCAATCTCTGTATCTCTGCTTATCCTCTCAGCTCCATAATGGTCCTCTGGAGGGTGTTGAGATCACAAATGATGGTTACAGTCTAAATTGGACTAGAAGGGTAGGAGAAAGAGGAAGGAAAGTAGAGAAATTTGACTATATTGTTAATAAGAACAACAAAAATTGTAGGATTATGTCAAGACACAAGAAAAGTTGTTTTTAGTTTTTTTTGTTTTTTTACAAAATACAACATCCATTTCTGTAAAAAAAAAAAAAAAGAAGCAGTGAAGGAGATAGGATGGAATAGGATTACTTCTGCATGTAAAGGGGTTTGCCTTGGCAAGGACACATAGTAGGTGTCTGATAAATGTATGTATAATTTTACAAAAAAAAAAGAGAGGAGGCCATTGAAACATTTTTTTAAATGCATAGAAGAGAATGAAAGGAAATGTTTTTAAAGAAGCAAATGAACTCTATTGTCTGTGGCTTTATGCCCTGTTTATTATAATATATGTCTTTATAAGCAAAGGATGACCTTAAAAGTCCCCCAGGTCTAAAATTAAGCCTTGAAATTCAGTGTTGTGGAACATTTTAAACTGAATCCCAGGCTATTCTAGAGTCAGTTTTTGTAGACTACCTTTCAGACTGTTTGCTTTTTAAATTTTGTTTGGGCAGTTAAGTTATGACTTATGTCTATCTTATAAGCAGAAAGTGATTTGTAAATGAAAGTGCGAGGTTCTGAAATCTTGGCATGAACTTATGCTGAAGAACCTAGAAACCTGAGAGGAGGAAATGGTTCCAGACAATTAGGATAGAACTTGACCTTCTTTTAAATTCCATCTCTTTGGAGACTAACATGGTTCTCTTTGAGCAAACACTCCTCCCTAAACCTGGCAAAGGTTAATATCAAGACAAGGCCAATTAATCTCTCTCTCAAGTAGGACAGAGCAGTGATCACCATCAGCTGGATGAACATTATAAGAGTTGTTGCAACATATGAGTTTTGATTAATCAGGCATTGAAAAAGACCTCAAAATATCAGCTTCCAGGGTATGCAGCTGCTCCCTACCACAGTACTCATTTGGGGCTACCATCTTTGGCTCTGAATTGGAGGTCTCTTTCATTTCCCAAAGAACTATATATGCTTGAGGTGGCTTACTCATGGAGGAGAACGTGAATGTCAGAAACCCGATCTGCTTGATCTTTGCTTTGACGTCTGTTGAGATTTTTAGAGGAAAAGCACAACAGAAATACAACCTATTAGAATAAAATCTCTATCATCCTGCAAATTGAAGGTAGGACTGATATTAAGTGTAAGTGGAATAGATTACCTGTCTAAGGTGATTTTGGAGTGGAGTTAAATGTTTCTTCCTTCACTGCTTTGCCCAGGGCCAGCTATTCTTGATTAATAGAATAAGCTTTCCCAATTCATCAAAACTTCTTTAATTCATGTTACACCCAGGTGGTGCAAAAGGAAATATGCCAGTAATAGAGAGGATAGTGACTTAAACAAATTAGTGAAACACAGATCTATTTGTTTTAAAACAAAATCAAACAAAACTCAGCAAAAACAGTAAGTAGCTTTTGAATGACCCTTCCAGTACTGCTAGCTAATTATTAAACTAAAAGTTTAGCTTGTGCCAGATCAGAAACACAGGTTTCTAAAATCAACCAGTTGGGCCGAGTGTCTGATAATTCACCTTTTACTGTATTAATATTATTGCTAAGAATCTAAAATAGTCTGCACTATTATCACTATGTAGGACTTTAAATACAGCAGCGCTGCTATTCCTCCCAAATCCTTCCTGCTTAATCAGCCCTGGCTTTCAAAGGACATATTCTCCAACCTCAAATGCTCCCCCCAAAGATGTTTCCTATGTTTACATTCTCTACTGACGTCTCACTTTCTCTCTTCTTTCACAGTGTGGCAAAGGAGCAGAAAACTTTGACAAATTCTTCACACGAGGGCAGCCGGTGTTAACACCACCTGATCAACTGGTCATTGCTAACATAGACCAAGCCGATTTTGAAGGGTTCTCTTATGTCAATCCACAGTTTCTCCACCCCATCTTGCAGAGCTCGGTATGAAAATGACCGACAGGAACAAAAACCCCAATTCCCTGGTCCCACTCACAGTGTTCCTTAATTCCTAAAATTTTAAGGTCTCAGTCTTGTTGCTTATTCCAGTTGGAGACCTGAAAATTGTAGGGTTAGAAGTCTAAATGTGATCAACCATTCAGGATCTCACTTTCAACCAAGAAACATCGTCTTAGTGAAAGTTGATATAGTACCCAGTTTAGCCTTTTAGGAGCCACAGCTGGTTGTATGTCACTCTTACAAAGCAAACAAATTCTTAACCCTTTTTTGGTACGTTTTGATATATTTTCTTTAACTTTCACCTGTCAATTTTCATCAATAGAATTCCTCATTATAGAGTTCAGGTTAGAACCCCCTTTTTATCTGATAGGCTGAGGATTTATTAAATTGAACAGTCTTTAGAATGGAAGCATGGCGAGCAAAGAAAACAAGCACTGTGTTGGGGAGGGGGCGCCTCACTGAACCAGGTATTCCCGTGGTCTTTGCTAGTTAATTAAAAAAAAAACTGCTAGAAAAGACCAAGGAGAGTGTGGATGATGGCACAGTTGCAAGCTAAACATTCCCAAACATTGGCTGTTCATGACCCAACCACAGCCCGTCAGCTCTCAGTTTTAAAAGACCAAAAAGAAAGAAAAGATAAAAAAGTCAAATATTTCATGAATCCATCACATCGCATCTGGCTGGTTTGATAACTAATTTTAAATTGCATTTCTATTAAGAGGCCAAATATTTTAAGGACAATGCTAAGGTAGCATGTGAAATCATTTCAGATCAAAAGTAAAAATTCCATATTTATGTTCATGTTAATCTCTGAGAGATTATTCTGAGATCCAGGGTGCCATTGTTAATTATGCCACTATTCAAGAGCGTTGTTAGCCAATCTCACAAAACACAATATTTTGCTACTGACTTTATTAACTTAGTAAGAAGCTGAGCTGTAACCCTTTTCCCCTTTTGTACTTATTTATTTGATAGGCTGCAGTGTTGTTTATGAAAGTACTATGTACAATAACTTAATGAAGTATTGAACTAGAGAGTCCATCCCTAAAGTTGGGAAACTTTATCCTTCTGAGTTTACTTAGAAAACAAAAAAAGGCTTCATTTTCCATTTCCATTTCCCACTGAATGATTCACCTGAAGATGTAGAATCAGTTAGCCTGGATTAAAATCAGTTCCCCCAAACATTTAATTTCTAGAAGAAATTTACTATGTTTTGCATCTGCATCATGCAATGAATTTTGCATGTTTATAATTAATCTTAATCTATACTGTTGATATAATCGTATGCAGTATAAAGAAAGTATTATAATAATTTTATAAGACACACTTTGTGTTATGTTTGTGAAGGTTTTCATTTCTAAGCAGTTTCCCCTTTGTTTAGATTCTAGCTTCGTGTTCTGCCATGATTCTTTTCTCCCTCAATGCATCTCCTGCTGACTGTCACTGATATCAAGTATATTCTTTTTTTTTTTTAACATGGATCAACTATCCAAAATGAATGGCTACTTTACATAATTTAGTTGGGCTTTTGTTGTATCTGTCTGCTTCTACTTATAAAACACACACATAAAACAGCAGAGAGAGAAAGAGACAGAGAGAGAGATTTTCTAGGCCAGAAGGTATTATTTTGAGATGACACACTTATCTTCTTAATGCAATCTTCTCTTTGTTGGTTCATGCACAATATTTCCTCTTTGAGTTAATGAGAAGTGATCATGTTCAATCCCATAATTTATGCTGACTCAGGCTCTCTTTCAGCACCTTGGGCCTTGTTTGTGTGAGTGACTTGTAGGCAAGGGAAAGGCAGAAAGGTTGCCTTCTTGGGAGGCATGGGAATGCCAGAAGCATGTTGTCTGTACTGCTGTTTGTGAAAGAGGATGCTGTTTTTTCTCAGCACGTAACATGCTGTCATGAGAACAATGTTTGCCATATGAGATTTAACATTACATCAGTCCCAGTAACAAAGGGGTCCCCCAGTTGTGCCAAAAATATTCCATTCCAAAAATGAAAAAAAAAATATTCCATTCCAGAATACAGGTTTCATTATGGCTGCTGGTAGAAGGGCATGAATGCTGTAAGATATCACCCAAAAGCCAGATAGTCAAAGGAATTTAAAAATGATGACTCAAAAATATACAAGCTAGAAGTGTCCACTGGCTCTTACAGAAGGTTTTTAGATTTTCATCTGTTCTTAAAACAAACACACACCCTTTTTAAAAAAAAGAAATTATTAGGCTAACATATGACCTGCTAAGAGCTCTGTGTGATGTACTGTAACCTATACTCCTAGGCTCTACAATGCCTGGCAGGGGTGAGAGGACAATCAGGAAGAGGGAAAAGCAGAGCCCCAGAAAGTATGGTTCTGTGTCAGTCAGCTATGGTTTCAGGCATTTGTGGCACTGAGTATTCAGAATTCAAAAGGGGCTATGGAGGATTCATCCTAGGGTCCTAATAGTCTACATACCAACAAGGAGCAGCTATTCACAGAGTTGACTTAATTCAATCTTGCTTAAAGAGTTAGATTTCAGGGTCTAGGGTAAAAACTGATGAAAGAGCAAAGATCAAAGAAGTAGCAAAGGAAGAGATTATCATACAAGCTCTTAGAACGACTACTGGTTCCCAAGTCATGTCATAGAGACAGTTCCTAATTAAAGTCCATCTTTTTCAGGAAACAGATTGAGAACCATGTTTGCAGGGGCTCTTTTGATTCCCATACAGATTTCCACATACATTTTCTCAGGAAACAAAGTCAGACATCTTAGCCTCTTTGTATCCTTTTCTTAATCCTTGTAGAGTTTAAAACAGAAAAGACACTAACCTAAGGGGGCATCCCTTTGCTCTGAATAAGGGGATTTTAGGCACAGCAAATGTGCTGAGAACAGTTTTTCAAGACAATGGTATAGAAGTCAATTGGAGCAAAGTGGTTCGGGGTAGGGATTGGCACTGAAAAACTTGTGATGTATTTAAATCTTATGTGTGGGGATAGATGTTAGGGACAGCCTGGAAAGGCTCTTTTAGAGAGTAACTACTGAAAGCAAAGAATTGTATAGGCAGTTGTTAAGAAAGCTCTGACTTAAAATATCTGTTTACAAAACATGTTGTATCAAAATTGACCAATTTTGTGAATTCCACGAAATTATATGAGGGAGTTATTAAAAAATTTTAGAATCAGAACATCTCAGTTGAGCAGGCACTTATGAGAATAAATAGGGCTCTCTGGAAGATAAATTTAATTCAGCGAACATTTATTAAGTCCTTACTATGTGCCAGTTAAGTACTATAGATGCAAGACAAAAAATAAGATGGCATCTGCCCTCAAAGAGTTCACAGTCAATGCCCCCTTGAAAGAAATGACTACCCCATGCCAGTGACGGGTACAAGAGCAGCTTGTAGAGCCCAGGAACTTACTATTGTGAGTATCATATCCACCTGGTAGGCTCTGACTCATTATTTTTCTCTCCGAAGCCAAATGCCTTAGGGAAAATTTAAAAGCTATCCATATGGCTTAGCATTATTTCTCCCAGACACTGTTGAATAGCTGTAAACCTTAAGAGGTTTAATTCTGGGATCCTGACATTTTTTCTCCTGACTTTTCTTCATAAAAGTTGATGAGTATTTGGACTGAGTAAAAATTACACAACTGAGTCCTAGGTGTTAGTGGTATGTTCAAATCAAACGAGAAAATGAGAATTGATGCAAAAAAAAGAGGCATAAGTAAACTATTAATAATGAAATTCTCTTTTCTTAGTGCCTTTACTCCTCAATCCCTGTGAAATACTTAATGCAAACTCTAACAAAACCTTTTAGATTGGACTTACTATTTAAATGAGCCATTTAAAATAACATGTCATAAGTGTTCAAGGAAATTGTTCAAATATGAGAGACTGAGTGATCAAATTCAATTAGACTGCAAGAGTATTTGCAGAGTGCCAGCCATATATTTCTCACTGGCAGAAACAGGGGACTCCAGAACCATCCAGGAACACCAGTCTCAGTAGAAGAGGAATCCCCTTTGTAAAAAAGGGACAAGAACAAGACAGTAAAGGACTTAGAATGAAAATGAGAGATACAAAGTCTTAAGTACCCAAGGAGTTCAAAGACCAGAGACATCCGTGAGGGTAAGATAATCATTGCTGAGGAGGTGAAATTTGAACTGGACCCTAAAGGATTAGTATATTTACTATATAGCACTTTAAGGAAGAAGCTCCAGCTTTTCTAAGTAAACATTAGCTGACCTTTATAAGTGCAAATGTGGAATTCTAATAGTGCTCAAGAAAGCACTTTTGCTCTTACTCAACAGCCCCCCTCCCACTCCAAAAAAAAATATTTACAGGGAAAAAGATTTTTTTTCTCCTTATGGAGGCAAAAATGTCTCACATGCTGTTAATCGTATCTCTGTCATTCTTCTCCCCCAACTTTCTGATTTAAAACCATAGCTATTTCTCTTTATGAAATAGGACAAGAGTTTCACTAGGTATGGATCAGAGACATCTGTGGTACCCTCCACCTTAGAAATCAGCACAAAAAAAAAATTGGACATTTTCTTTCCTTTTTTTCTCTGTTGTTACCAAAATAAAAGGTGTGATTCTGTGGTTTTTCTATTTAACCAATGCAAATTATTAACCTCATCTAGCAGTATACTTTTCTTCAATCTTATATGCATTCTGTGAACAGGTCACTTTATATTGGATAATTTTCTTATTGCTGATACCACAGTGATATCCAGGGTGCCAATTTCCCTAGCTAAGGCACCTCTTTCACACTCATAGAAATGGAAGTGAAGGCCTGGGCACTGAAAGAAGACAAAGTGGGTTTTGAGCCCAGTACAACAGAGCCATGGAAGTCACCTATTAATAGTGCTAAGGACAGAAAGAGGACAGAAAGTAAAGGAAAAATTGACAGGATTTGATTATTAGTGGTTGTACACTAACTCACCAATGAATTCCTGGAAACAGTAAAAGGCCACTTACTTTTTTTTTTAATAGCTAATGTATTTCTTCAGGGCCAGTCATAACCAATTGTTAGACGGTCTCTTTGCCTTTCTGGTGACTTTTGGGGGAGAAAAGGGAAACTTTGTCCTGTGACATAATGCTTAAAAGGAGAAAACTAATGAGAGCATATGTGGTTGAGAATAATCTTAAAGAAATTATTGAGTATGGTTTGTGAAATTCTATAATGCCAGAAACTTTGTGTGTGTGTGTAGGGGGGAATTAAAACTTTAAAATGAATTCTGACATCAGTATAGTCTATGTGATTTTGTATCTGTTAACAACTGTTTCAGTAAAACTCAGTACTCAAACAGCCTTACCGTAACCCTGCACTAAAATGCAAAATGTTCAGAAAAAATTTTTTAGCCTTCAAGAAAAAATCAATTTATTAAATTGACATGGGATGGCTGCATATACTAGGCTGTTTGTACTTTTTTATATACAACTTTAATAGCTAATTCTGCTAAGGCCATTTTTTTAGAAAATGCCGTCACTGACAATGTTTCATAAAAATAAGCACACAGACCCTGGAGGAAGACTTAGCTGTTGTCATCTAGAGTTCCAATGGCATGAAATGGCATCTGTGGAATACAGTTGCACTATTTTTTAAACTTCTCTGGGGATTTGTACCATTTTGAAAACATTGGAAGTCTTGGTGGAATTTGTTAGTAGCCCAAAACCCTTTGTAGCCGTAGAAGAGATACTGAAGACAAAAATATATAAAATCCAGGAATAATTGTCTTACAGGAAAGATGCACCTATTTTACTCTCTCAGTTGGAGACTTGTAGTCAGTCGTAAGTCATGTGCAGAGCCTCATATGCAGTTTTCCTTGGACATACATAGATGTCTACACTGCTAGTTTCAGTGCAAGCCCTTATCTTGCCTTGCTTTGCTTATTTCTGTCCTCACAGATCCCATAACCCCTTTCCTCCATGTTCAGAAACATTTCTGTGTAATTTCCATGAGAAAGAATGAGCAGCATACCTGCCCATTGGTGTTGCTTTTTACATAACTGATAGTGTAGACAAGAACTGATTTTCAGAAAAACATACATTAACTAGACTTAATTAGAATTCTTTCTAAAATGAGCCGAGAAAAATTGGATGCCGCATTTTTCTGGTTAACAATTTTGCAGAAATCAGCTTTGTTTGCATCATGTCCATTTAAGAATATGCCTGTAGATAATCAATGATTATGGGGTGTGTTTTTCCCCTTTCTGGAAGAATTTGGTTCTTTTCCTGGAGATCAGGAGTAGAGAAGTGATAATAAATTTCAAACCCACTTGGAATGAAGGCAGTGATTCCTCTGGGTCTAAATATTTTGCTAAAAATTCACATCATGACCTTTGTTTTAGGATCTTTTTAGCAAAAGACTCACTTTTTTGGGCAGCTGCAGCATTGCTTTTGTGATGTTAATTTTTTAACAAAAATAAAGCCACTTGAAAACTACTAATCCTGCAAATTACCAGAAGATCCCCAAATTTATATTTGTAAGAAGGAAGTTGTTTTATTTTATCAGTAAACAACTACTAAGAAATGTAAAGGCCATTTGAATGTCAAACAACATCTGGAATTTTAAAAAAAAGAATGATGTATAAACTATTAGCATCGGTTTTCTTACTTCTTAAAACCTTTACTCCTTGTTTGCATGATCCGCTTTGTTAAATATACTAATTGTAGTTTGAAAGCAAGTGTGTATGAATAAAGATAATGATCATTCCTTGGTCTCTTTGGTCTTATTTACATACTTAGAGAAATTCCCCTTCTTTTCAGTAAAGTATACATTTAATAATGGTTCTGGGTAGAGAGAGAAAGTGGAGCTTTTGTATCCAAGAACACTACACTTATCCCTTCCATATTGTGACTTTACCCATCGAGGTTTCCAGGTTTCCATACATCACAAGTCAGCATAAGAAATTAAATAGGAATTATGGGGGGCAGTTTTGGGGAAGCTGCAGACAACACATAAAGCCCAGCACACAACACAGAGCCTTATACTAACCAAATACTTAACCCAAATTTTACAATAAGGTGCTGTAAACAACTGATAAAAGAAAAAGATATGATATGATTGTTCTTTGATATGAAGGGAAGGCCAAAAGTTTTTACTTGGATTTTCCAGATCATGTGGGTGCTGCCCCCCTAACCTCCCATGATGTGGGCAGGGATAACTGTATTTCAATTTCACCATCTCTTTGTAGCAGTAATTTCATCTTTGAGTACTTAGTTGGGACCCAGATCTCTATTTGGGTTTATATTTCTCTGAAAATAAATACCCATCCAACATTAAAGCAAGAAGGGATGACAATCATCATGTAGGCCAAACACCCTCTTTTTACAAATGTGTAATGCTTGAGGTCATCCTGCACACAGCTTAACTAGACATTTTGTGCCTGGGAACAGTAATTATAGGGATCTGCTAGATAGGGGAAAACCAAGATCTCAGAATAGCTGACAGATACCAAAGCCATGGGTCAAAGCACAAGAGCAGGGTGAGGCAGGACGGGAGTTTAAGTCATACCACCATAATTAATTTTTCCTTCTAAGTGCTAGGGCTCAGTTGTTACTAGCTTCTAAAGAGATTGCTGGTGCTATGAGTGTCCAGTACACCGGTTGCTCTGCTCTAATTAATAGCAACAACAACAGTTACTCTGGTAATGTGAACAGAAGCAGTACAAGAGTGGACTACATACTTGAGACTGTTGTTGATGTCAGCATGTATGTGAAGGTGTACAGATTGGTGATCAAAAGAAATATCTAGAAAAAGACTATTATCAAAAGCAATGGTCATTATTGAATACCTACTCTACGGAGGCATGGCTGCTGCAAAAATGTATCAGACATCATCCCTGCACTTGTTTTAAAGTCTAGTCAGGGAGACAAGCAAAGCTAGACATGGCAATATTTGAACTTTGGAAAGCACAAATGAATTTTGAGTAATAACGTGTGAAGGGCAGAGGGTGAGTGAAGCTTAGGGAAGGGCAGGAGTTAATCTGGGAATGATCATGGGCAGAAGTGTGCTAAACTATAATTTCAACCCTGCTGAGGCTGCTCTAATTTGATACCTCAGAGAAAGGTACAAGTTACCCCCACTCTAGCTGGGATTCTAGTCATAAGTGGATAAATAGATAACAATAGAAGGTAGACTGTGCTAAGTGTTTAATGAGTAATATATAAATCAAATGTTAAAAGAATTCAGAAGAAGCAGCATTCCTGAAGGCCGGATTGATACAGGTTGCCAAAATTAGCTCATTCTAGTAAGAAAGAATAAGGCATATCCCAGTGAAGAATGGAAAGTTCAAATTATTTTTAGTTTGGGAACAAATAATTTTAGAGCTGAAATGGACCTTAGCAGTAATTTAATCCAATGCCCTTATAACAGAGATAAGTAAACTAAGGCCCAGTCATGGGAAGTGATTTTCCTAAATTCACATAGACGATCAGCGACAATTATATAAATCAATGACTTTATTAAGTACTTAACATATGCCCAGAAATGGAAAGCCCTAAAGATATAAAGACATATGAAACAGTCCCTGCTATAAAGCTTACACTGGGGGGAGCAGGGCGGGAAGGAAGGGGAGAGAGCTGGACAATATATATGCATATACAAAATAAGGTAATTTGAGGAAGGATTGTGCTAGCAGTTGTGGAGATCAAGAAAGGCTTTATGAAGAAAGTGGTTTATGAGCTGTCTTTTTTTTTTTCAGATAGTATTTTTCCTCCAATTACATATTGAGATAATTTTTAGCATTCTTTTTTACAAGATTTTGAATTCTAAATTTCTCTCCCTCTGTCCCCTCCCCTCTTTCTACAATGGAAAACAATTGGATATAGACTATACATGTGCTATCATGTAAAACATATTTCCACATTAGTCACAGTTGTGAAAGAAGAAACAGATCAAAAGGGAAAAAACCATGCAAAAGAATAATGTTAAGTGAAAAAGTCTGCTTCAATGTACATTCAGAGTCCATCAGCTCTTTATCTGGATTTGGATAGCATTTTCCTTTGAGTCCTTTGTATTTGTCTTGGATCATTACGTTGCTAAGAAGAGCTGAGTCATTAATAGATGATCATCATACAATGTTGTTGACAGTGTGTACAATGTTGTCCTGGTTCTGCTCATTTCACTTTGCATCAGTTCATACAAGTCTTTCCAGGTTTTTCTGAAATGTGCCTATTGATTTCTTATTGCACAATAGTATTCCATTACATTGATGTACCACAACTTGTTCAGCCATTCCCCAATTGATAGGCATCCCCTCAATTTCCAATATTTTGCCACCATGAAAAGGGCTGCTACAAATATTTTTACATATGTAGGTCCTTTTCCTCCTTTTTATGATCTCTTTGGGATACAGACCTAGTAGTGGTATTGCTGAAGCAAAGGGTATGCACAGTTTGGTTACCCTTTGGGCATAGTTCCAAATTGCTCTCCAGAATGGTTGGATCAGTTCAGAACTCCATCAACAATGCATTAATGTCCCAATTTTCACATATGCTCTCCAACATTTATCATTTTCCTTTTTTTCATATTAGCCAATTGGATAAGTGTGAGGTGATACCCCAGAGTTGTTTTAATTTGCATTTCTCTAATCAAAAGTGATTTAGAGCGCTTCTTCATATATTTATAGATAGCTTTGATTTCTTCATCTGAAAACTGTTCATATCCTTTGACCCTGTATCAATTGGGGAATGGCTTGTATTATAAATTTGACTCAGTTCACTATATATTTGAGAAAAGAGACCTTTATCAGAGACACTTCCTATAAATATTGTTTCTGAGCTTTCTGTTTCCTTTCTAATCTTGGTTGTATTAGTTTTGTTTGTGCAAAAGCTTTTTAATTTAATATAATCAAAATTATCTATTTTACATTTCATAATGCTCTCTCTCTCTTGTTTAGTCATGAACCTGTAACTCACTTAACTTCTCCTTTAAGAATTTGAATGCTATATCACTTGGTGCATATATGTTTAGTATTGATATTACTTCATTGCCTTTGTACCTTTTAGCAAGATGTAGTTTCCTTCCTTACCTCTTTTAATTTGGTCTATTTTTGCTTTTGCTTTGTCTGAAATCAGGATTGCTACCTGTGCTTTTTTTTACTTCAGCTAAAGCATAATAGATTCTGCTCCAGTCCCTTACCTTTGCTCTGTGTGTGTCTCTCTGCATCAAGTGTGTTTCTTGCAAACAACATATTATAGGATTCTGGTTTTTGATCCACTCTGCTGTCTGCTTCTATTTTATGGGAAAGTTCATCCCATTCACATTCACAGTTATGATTGTGTATTTCCCATCATCCTATTTTTCCTCCTGTTTTTCCCCTCTCTCCTTTTACCCTTTTCCTCCTAGACAGTGTTTTGCTTCTGTCTACTGCCTCCCCCAATCTGCCCTCTCTTCTGTCAGCCCCTCTCCCCCACTTTTACTTAATCTCCTCCCTTCCTACATTCCTGTTTGGGTAAGATAGATTTCTATATTCAACTGAATGTGTAAATTATTCCCTCTTTGAGCCAATACTGATGAGAGTAAGGTTCAAGAGATCCTCATTGCCCATCCTCCTTTTTCTCCTCTCCACTTTAACAGCTTTTTCAGACATCTTTGTGTGAAATAATTTACCCCATTCTACCTCTCCCTTCCTTCTGCATACAGTTTATTCCTCTTTCTCATCCTTTAATTATTTTTATATCATTCCCTCCACCTTATATCAGTACCCTTTGCCTCTGTAAATTCCTTCTAGGTGTACTATTAGTGATACAATTTTTAAGAAGTACTAGAATCATCTTCCCACATAGGGATATAAATAGTTCAGCCCCACTGAATCCCTTATGTTTTCTTTTCCCTGTTTACCTTTTTAGGCTCCCCTTGAGTCTCGATATTGAAGATCAAATTTTTTCTTCAATTCTGGTCTTCTCCTTATGAAAGCTTAAAATCCTTCTATTTAAGTGCATGACCATTTTTTCTCTTGAAGCCTTGAAGTATTATATTTAATTTCACCAGGTAGGTGATTCTTGGTTGTAGTCTTAACTTCTTTGCCTTCTGGACCACCATGTTCCATGACCTCTGATCCTTTAATGTTGTAGCTGTTAAGTCCTATGTAATCCTGATTGTGGCTCGCTAATGTTTAAATTGTTTCTTTCTGGCTACTTAACAGTACTTTTTGCCTTGACCTGATAGTTCTGTAATTTGGCTATAATGTTCCTTCAGATGATCAGTGGATTCTTTTTTTAAAAAATTATTTATTTATTTATTTTTAGTTTTCAACATTCACTTCCGTAAGATTTTGAGCTTTAAATTTTCTCCCCTTCTCTCTCCTCCCCCCTTTCCAAGACAGCATGAAATCTGATATAGGCTCTACATATACATTCATATTAAACATATTTTCACGTTAGTCATGATGTAAAGAAGAATTCGAACCAATGGGAGGAACCGCAAGAAAGAAGAAACAAAACAACAAAAGAAAAGTAGAGCAAATAGTATGTTTCAATCTGTATTCAGATTCCATAGTTCTTTCTCTGGATGTGGATAGCTTTCTTCCATCATGAGTCTTTTGGAGTTGTCTTAAATCTTTGCATTTCTAAGAACAACTAAGTCTATCAAAGTCAGTCATTCCATAATATGGCTGTTACCGTGTACAATGTTCTCCTCGTTCTTCTCACTTCACTCAGCATTAATTCGCATAAGTCTTTCCAGGTTTTTCTGAAGTCTGCCTGCTCAT